TTCAGGGCTACCATCACGCATGCACGGGATCTCGCTGCCATGTTAATGCCAATGTTGCACATGTACAGGAATGATCATCCCGCACATTGCAAAAATTAATTCCACACGTGTGGCCAAAAGATACTGCGCTTGTGTCGGTGAATAATTAATACTGTACATGCATGGGGTATGGCTCCATAGGCATCGGCGGGAGGGAGGGGACAACCCTTTCCACCACCTGTAAAAGTAATCCAGTAGCTGATTAGCCCCTAGGATCCCTTTTACACCGTAGAGCAGCACCAGCTCTAAAAACAATACCAGGGTTATGCCTGACAGCTGCAGCCATAACCCCGGTATAACCACGTACATTTTTCAGCTGCTCCTAGGGGCGTCTGGCATTTTGTTTTTTTTTTCTTCCTCTAAACACCCCTGCATGTTATCTGACGTGTCCACGCACAGATAGGCTTTTAGAGGAGTTTGGAGTCAGAGGTAAAACACTGCTAGTTCACCCAGGAGCAGCTGAGTTTTGGCAGAAAAAAAAAAAGCTAGATGCTTGTAAACATGCTTAAACACGTGTTAACGCTGGGCGGGTTAATTCATTTCAGTGGCCTGATTAAATAATTATTCTGGCCATTGAATTGAATTAACGGCCAAACGCTTGATGCGGCTAAACGCGGTTAACACTGGTGTCAAGTGGTTTTTTATGCCAAAATGCCGCTGATAGGAAGATGTTTATGAGAGACTTAGAAACATCCAGTGTGCATGAGGCCTAAATGTACTTTTCACATTACATGGCTAGATACTTTCTGGACAGACCTCGCAGTGCGATTTATTAGAAAAATCCCTTTGGCAGGATTCACTTTTTTGAGAATGTTGCCGTTTTTTTTTTTTTTTTTTGTTTATTTTTTTTTTTTTTTTATCTGTCAGTCAACAAAGTGGTTCCTCTGTATACTCCCCCTTGTGCTGGCAATTGCTTTCTATGGGGTGATAGATGTACTGTGGCTTTGCTTCAGCATTTAGGGGAGCCATTGTAGAACAAAGCCATGGTCAAAAACACGTTTACATATACCCTAACATAGGTATACTGCCTTAAAATAGGACTATAGGCAAAACTTTTGTTTCCTTTTGGATAGAGCAGTGGTCTCCAAACTATGGCCCAGGGGCCGGATTTGGCCCTTGGCTTGCCTTTACCTGGCTCTTGGGGCACCATTCCACCAACTGAACCCATCTATGGGGCGCTATTCCACCAACTGACCCCATCTATGGGGCGCTATTCCACCAACTGACCCCATCTATGGGGCGCTATTCCACCAACTGACCCCATCTATGGGGCGCTATTCCACCAACTGACCCCATCTATGGGGCGCTATTCCACCAACTGACCCCATCTATGGGGCGCTATTCCACCAACTGACCCCATCTATGGGGCACTATTCCACCAACTGACCCCATCTATGGGGCACTACTATTCCAATAACTGACCCCATCTGTGGGGCATTATTCCACCAATTGGCCCCTTCTATGGGGCACTACTCCTCCCACTGACACCATCTATGGGGCACTACTCCTCCCACTGACACCATCTATGGGGCATTATTCCTCCCACTGACCCCATCAATGCGGCATTATTCCTCCCACTGACCCCATCTATGGGGCACTATTCCACCAACTGAACCCATCTATGGGGCACTATTCCACCAACTGACCTCATCTATGGGGCACTATTCCTCCCACTGCCACCATCTATGGGGCACTATTCCTCCCACTGCCACCATCTATGGGGCACTATTCCTCCCACTGCCAACATCTATGGGGCACTATTCCTCCCACTGCCCCCATCTATGGGGCACTATTCCTCCCACTGCCCCCATCTATGGGGCACTATTCCTCCCACTGCCCCCATCCTATGGGGCACTATTCCTCCCACTGCCAACATCTATGGGGCTCTATTCCTCCCACTGCCAACATCTATGGGGCTCTATTCCTCCCACTGCCAACATCTATGGGGCTCTATTCCTCCCACTGCCCCCATCTATGGGGCTCTATTCCTCCCACTGCCCCCATCTATGGGGCTCTATTCCTCCCACTGCCCCCATCTATGGGGCTCTATTCCTCCCACTGCCCCCATCTATGGGGCACTATTCCTCCCACTGCCCCCATCTATGGGGCACTATTCCTCCCACTGCCCCCATCTATGGGGCACTATTCCTCCCACTGCCCCCATCTATGGGGCACTATTCCTCCCACTGCCCCCATCTATGGGGCACTATTCCTCCCACTGCCCCCATCTATGGGGCACTATTCCTCCCACTGCCCCCATCTATGGGGCACTATTCTTCCCATTAACACCAATGAAAGTGCATTGCTTATGTCCACTAATGTTGGGGCATTTGTTACTCCCACTGGCCACAGTCTGAAGGACAGTAAACAACCCTTTGCACTGAAAGTTTGGAGACCCCTGGGATAGAGTAAGGGAGCATTCTACCCTGTCAAAGTTTTTTTTCCCATTGGGGAGATTTCCCTTCACTTCCTGTCCCATAGCCAAAGCAGAAAGTAAGTGGAAATACATGCAAGTTATTGGAATCCATTGGGTGGGCCCCCAAGTCACCAGAACTAGTGTTCTGTTTGGGCGATTTCCCCTCTATTACTTTTCTGGGGACAACCCAAAATTTGGGATTTTCCTTTACTTTCACATTCAATGATAATGGTAAACAGGACAAATGTAGAGGGTGAATCTCCATAACAGGGGCACAGACAACAATAAAATCCTAATAGGTGTCCTATTCCATTTCTACTCTGTCCAAAAAAAAGTTTGCCTTTAGTTACACTTTAACTTTTTTTTAATTGAATGCTTTGGTTCATTTTATTTAGGCTTTGTGTACGTGAGGAAACTTTTGGTTCCAATTGAATTTTACTGAAAAGTGTTTCAGAACACAAAACATAGCGACTCTACATTGCAGAGGTCAGAACAGTCCAATTTACAATAAAGCGAGCGATTCCAGGAGATGGTAATGCCACCTGTTTGTAAAACATACAGAATGCAAAATCATAAACCCATGTAGGAAAGGCCACTTAACACATCAAAGAGAAAAACAAGAATATAAGTGTGGGTGTGCCGCATCTATTAAAACCTGTCTTAAGGGTGAGCCTGTGCTAGGGATTTCAAGTGTACCCTATTTGTCTTCTAAACCTTTTTTTGCTGAAGGAGCTGTATTCTGTTAACCCCTTCAGGACCAAGGTCAATGCAAACCAAGCCCTGGTTCACACTGGTGCGACTTCAGGTGTGATATGCGATTTCCAAATCACTCCTGAAGTTGCATCTAATGTATTTCTATGGCACTGTCTTTTTCAGCGCAATTTCAAAAATAGTTCCTGCACTACTTTTTTCTGATTTCATTGCAACTTGCATTGACTTCATTTAAATGAAGTCGCAAGCCGCAGTGAAATTGGAGGTACAAATCGCACTTATCAGCGGCTTTGAAATTGCGTTACTTCAAGTGAAGTCACATTCAGCGTGAACCAGGGCTAACTCCCAAACCCAATTTTGCAACTTTGACATGTGTTAGCATAACTGTACATATCATCACAACAATTAATTAATTTAATTGCGGGCCGCATCAGTATTATGGTTGCCTTGAAAGGGCAAATTGTACCTGTAGGACTACATGTCCAGTCCCCACTTACATCAGATATCAAAAGCCCCACCACCATCTGAAGCCAAGAGTCCCCCAACATCCCCTACATCACAGTGCACCCCCCCTTACCTTGTGCTGCTGCCAGAGAGAAGCTGGGGGCTAGGCTGAGAAGCAGAAATTGCAGGGTCTGGAGTCGGGCTGGAGTTGGAGTCTGCTGAATGCGGAGACCAGGGGAGGTGGAGATGAGGGGGTGCTGAGGCTGCAGAGAAGTGCAGGAGCTGGGTGGGGGGCAGAGATGAGCTTCTGCAAGGAGAAGTGCAGGATCTCTGCTGCCCACTGTTGAGAAGAGGGTGGAGGGTGCTGCAGGAGAATCATAAGGGCTACATGAAATGGCCTGGTGGGCTGCATTTAGCCCGCAGGCCTTGTGATTCAGTGTATCCAGGGGGATTATACCATTTTTTTTTTTTTTATTTTTTTTTTTTTTTTTTTTTTTTTTCAGGAGAGGTTGGATTTCATTTGGTTGTAAATATTAATGGATATCTCTTGATTTTGTTTTATGTATAAAAATCTAACCCCAAATAGTAAAAAAGTAAGTTTTTTAAAAATATTTAGCTGTATGTTTTTATGCCATTACTATGACTCGCCACCAAAGAACCTGCTAAATAAATTCTCCTACTTCTGATGATCACAGCGATACCACATTTGCGTGCTTTATTTGTTCTTTGCACCTATAGTAAACAATAGTGTGTTTTTTTTTGATCTACCTAAACACACTGACTTTAACATTGAAATTAATGGACACTGCCACTAAAGCTTCAGCTCTGATCTAGTGTTATCTTTACATTGTTTCTTTTGTATAGACTAGTGGAAAAGATACAATGTATCACATTGTGCTGAAGGTGCACTTGCTCATGCACTCCCAAACACAGGAATACATAGAGTCGGTATAGAAAAGAATCACCCCCTTTAAGCACTAGTCTACAGGGCACTTATACCCCCTTCCTGCCCAGGTCAGCTTTCAGTGCTGTCACACTTTGAATGACAATTGCGTGGTCATGCAACACTGTACTCATATGAAATTTTTATCATTTTTTTGAGACACAGAGCTTTCTTTTGGTGGTATTTAATAACCTCTGGGTTTTTTATTTTTTGCTAAACAAACCAAAAACAACTAAAAATTTTGAAAAAAAAAAGTTTTTTTCTTATAACATTTTGTAAATAAGTGATTTTTCTCCTTCACTGATGTGTGCAATGAGGCTGCAGTGATGGGCACTGATGGGCACTGATGGGCACCGATAGGTGGCATTGATGGGCACTGATAAGGAGGCGCTAATAGGTGGCACTGATGGCCATTGACAGGCATCACTGATGGGCACTGAGAGGCAGCACTCATGTCTGGCACTGTTAGGCAGCACTGATGGGCATTTATAGGTGGCACTGACTGGCACTGATAGGTGGCACTGACTGGCACTGATAGGTGGCACTGAAAGGCAGCTCAGATGGGCACTGATATGGGGCATTGATATGCACTGGTAGGCACTGATATGTGGCATTGATGAGGCACTGATGGGCACTGGCAGGCAGCATTGATGGACACTGACAGGTGGCACTGCTGGGGTACACTAATCATCAGGGCACACTGATCATCAGTGCCCTGATGATCAGTGCCCATGTCCCCTCTGAGGAATGCCAATTACCGGCTCTCCTCTCCTCTTGAGCTGTCAGTGTGACAGCTCGTGAGGAGAGAAATGCCGATAACCGGCATTTCTCTATTTACATGTGATCGCCACCGATCGCCGCGCTGCACGCCCTGGAGCCGCGCATGCGCGGTTAGAGTGGGACGACATCATATGACGTCCTCCCAGAACGAGAGAACTGCCTTGCGCCCATCATTACACTATATGGCGGGCAGGAGGCGGTTAAAATAATCACATTTTGTTGTTTTGCTGCTTGAAATGAACACAGACACATTTATTGTTTTATCCAGCTGTATTTAGCAACTTGTAACATCCAAGTGAAAGATATAACGCCAACACGTCAGAAAAAAATAAAAGCAAATTCAAAAACAGAATCATTGAGTTGGAAAAAGGATCACCCCCTTGTACCAGGATTTTGTTGAACCACCTTTTGCTTTACTTTACTTACAGCCTTTAGTCTGTTGGGATATGTCTCTACTAACTTTTGCACATCTAGACTTTGCAATATTTGCCCACTCTTCTTTGCAGAACTGCTCATGTTCAGTTAAATTTGATGGTGACCATTTGCGGACTGCAGTCTTCAAATCATTTTACAGAATTTCAGTGGGGTTTAAAGTGCTACTAAACCCACAACAGTAAAATCAGTCTGTATATGCAGTAAAGCATGCTTGTTATACTCACTGTGGAACCTAAGGGTTAATCCTCTGCATTGTGGAAAAGGCTGTTTGATCCTGACTTCTCTGATCCTCCCCTTCTTCCAGTGTCCCCCTCGTATCTCCTGATAAGATATATCGTCACTCTGCACATCCTCAGTTTGGTGTGAATTGCTAGAGATATTTTTTTTTTTCTTGGGAGAGTGCATGTGATCAGCACAGGGCCAATAAGCAATGTCCAGACAGAGGTCAGGGGTTCTGCATCCTCCTAGAGCAGAATTTAAACTCCTCCTACAAGCTTTAACATGTGCTTGGCTGGACACTGATAGAAGTCACTAATTGCTGATGAGAAAAGGTATTTAGCAGTTTATATTTAATAAAATAATTTCACTTCCATGTTGTATATACTGTGGGAGACCAGATATAGTGAATGCAGGGTCCTGGGTTAGTGGGCTCTGACTAGGCCATTCAACGACATTCACCTTTTTCTCCTTCAACCACTATGTGGTCATTTTTTGCTGTGTGCTTTGGGTCATTATCATATTGGAAGGTAAACCTTCTTCCCATTGACAACTTTCTGGCAGAAGGCAGCAGATTGTCCTCAAGAATTTTATAGTATTTGCCCCATCCATTTTTCTTTCTATCCTGACAAGTGTTCTAGTCCTTTCTGCAGAGAAACACCCCATAACAGGATATTGCCACATGTATGCTTTACTGTAGGAATGGTGTTATTTGGATGGTGAGCTATATGGGATTTCTGCCAGACATATTGTTTAGTGTTGAGGCCAATAATTCAGTTATTGAAATATTCAAATCAGTATTTCAATTTTAGTCTCATCTGACCATAACACCTTTTTCCATGTGGCCTCAGAATCCTCAAGGTGCATTTGGCAAAGCTCAGTTGTGACTACATGTAGTCTTTCTTGCGGAGTGGCTTTTTTCTTGTAACCCTCCCATACAAGCCACACTTGTGGAGAATTTGTGATATTGTTGTCACCTTTGTCATAAATTCCTGCATCTGCTTCAGAGTTGCTGTAGGTCTCTTGGTAGCTTCTCTGACCAGTTTCCTCCTGGCTCTTTCATCCAGTTTGGAGTGATGTTCTGATCCAGGGTCTGTGTTGTACCAAATACTTTCCATTTCTTAATAATAGACTTCACTGTGCTTCTAGGCATTGATAAAGCCTTTGAATTTTTTTTGTATCCATCTCCTGACTTGTGCTTGTCTACAACTTTATCCAGGAGATCTTTTGACAGTGCCTTGCCACCCATAGTTGATTGTTTGCTTCAGTTGCACTACCGGGGACTGATATGCTCCAGGAAAGCTCTTTTCATGCTGAGCTAATCAAAATGACCACAGCTGATCACAGTTGAAAGTCAAATGGCTGTGTGTGCCATTGAGAAGGTCATTAGTTACACCTGATTACGTTTACAAGTAATGTTTTAGGAGAGAGGTGATCCTTTTTGAAACTCGGTGATTCTGTTTTTGAAATTTTTTGGATAGAGCAAAAACTGTGTCTTTATTTCAGGCTGCAAAGCAACAAAATGTGTGTGTGTGTGTGTGTGTGTGTGTGTGTGTGTGTGTGTGTGTGTGTGTGTGTGTGTAGATTCTTTTCTATACCCACTGTATATGTAGTACCCATGAATAAAGCCCGCTTCTTGGACACCACCTATATTTGTTACGCAGTCATACAGGGGTTAATGAGGGGGTTGGGAATCACAGAAACAACATTGACATATAGAGAAAAGAAGTTAAAAAGTCTAATAGTAGGGGAAGGATCTACCAGCCATTGGGAGAGGGTAGGTCCCTCAACCAATGTATAGGCAGCACAGTGGCTAAATGGTTAGCACTTCCACCTGGCAGTACTAGGGTCGTTGGTTCGATTCCCAGCCACGGCACCTCCTGCCTGGAGTTTGCATGTTCTCCCTGTGCCTGCGTGGGTTTCCTCTGGGTACTCTGGCTTCCTCCCACACTCCAAAGACATGCCAGTAGGTTAATTGGATTCTGTCTAAATTGGCCCTAGTATGTGTATGTATGAATGTGAGTTAGGGACCATAGATTGTACACCCCTTGAGGGTTAGGGACTGATGTGAATGTAAAATATATATGTAAAGTGCTGCATAAATTGACGGCGCTATATAAGTACCTGAAATAATTAAATAGTAGTGGTCATAGACCTTACTGAAGTTTGAGGTAGCAGCAAACACATATAAATAGAACATGTGCGATCCATATGTTTGCAACTGGTATGATAAAATGTCAATCGCTGCAGGGACACAAGTGTTTCCTGTGCACCATTCACACTGCAACGCTGCCTAGCACTGCACCAAAATGCAGACATGCTGCATTTTATGGCATCGCACTGCGATGTTGTGCAGTGCATCGTGCTGCCTGACTTTGCAGTGAATGAGGTGTATGTTTTGTAAATTTCAGATAAAGCTTCTACAAACCAAAAAAAAAGGGAGCTGTTTGATGTGCTGAATTACTCACCACACTGCCCCCTAGTGCAACCGGAAACGGTGAATCGCTCCAGCTGCTGTGCATTGTGGTGTGAATTCATTATTATTATACAGGATTTATATAGCGCCAACAGTTTGCCCAGCGCTTTACAATATAAAGGGAGACGATACAGCAATTATACAGTTCAATACAAGAGGGATAGGAGGGCCCTGCTCCTTGGAGCTTACAATCTAGGAGATCATATCCTTACACTTTTGTACACATATATGTCCTTAGTAGTGGTCTGTGATCTGTAAAAACAGCCCAACTCCAGGATCCTGCTAAGTTTGCACTTTTGTGATGCTCTCTCTAGGCTCTATTAAAACGTTTTAAACATTGTACGGTACAATGACTTACTTTTCTTGTAATTCCAGACTTTTATATCCCACTGCTGGAAGTGACGATCTGGGTGTGTGGGCACAACACGTTGAGGTTGATATGGCGGCGGTGAGCAGGCTGAGCTGTAATTGGAGCTGGAAGCAGAGCTTTGGCTGACACGTGTGTAATGAGCGGATCAGACTGGGAGCCTGAAACTCCAATGTCTGCCCACTACAGTGAGCTGTGATGTAATTACATTACTGCTTGCTGTAAAAGAACAACAGATGGGATGTTACCAGACCCCTGGCCAGGAGGATAGCGAGCACAGTGGCTACCGGTTGTACAAACCGGATATGCAGGTGAATCAGGAATACAGATACTGAGAATAAACCTGGATCTGTGTGGGCGCGTTCCCAGCACAAAGACAGGTATGTAAATATGTGGCCCCACAGAAAAAAGCCCAGTTCTGTGAGGCCGCATATTTGTCAGCGCCAAGGGTTTAAGAAGAGGTTGGTGACTGTTGCTCAGGCACAGTTGTGGATGGCTTTGTATGCTGTTAGTAAGTTGAAATTGATTCATTGGGTGAGTGAAAGATAAAGGAGGGATTGGTAGCGAGGGGCAGCAGATACTGACTGGTTGGTTGGGTGGGGGCGTCTGACAGCATCATTCATGATAGGCGGAAAGGCATGGGGGTGGCGTTGCAGTAGTCAGGGTCTATTGCTTGCCCTGCCCTATGTCTTTTATCATACATTGCATGCCCTAACCCATGTCTGATTTTTGGTTGCTTTCTCCGCTGCTTGTTTACAAACGATACTCTTGTCTGGCAGGTTGGAATTTTGCTTTGGCTACCTGCCTGCATGTCACCACTGGGGTAAACTTGAGGGCTGCGCCATGTGGAAAAGACCGGACGAACCTTAGGGAGGCCACATTTCCAACTATAAAATAGAACATCCACAATACATGTTACACATATCTTCACCAAATTTTTCATGTGACCATTTGTATACATGACATGCTTTCTTGTAGCCAGATTGTCTTAGTCTAGGTTCACACCCATGTGTTTTCCATTGCGTTTTGCAGAAACGCACATCAGTCCATTTAACATGATTTCCTATGGGACACGTTCACATCTCCGCGTTTTCACCCGGTGCGGTTTTTTGGAAAGGGTCAGGGACTTTTTTAAATGCAAAACATTGCGTTTTTGGTTCAAAAGACTTTATTGGAGACGTTGCAGAAAAGCATGTAATGCATTTTTAATCCGTTTTGACACTTTTATGTGGTTTGATCTGTCCAACAACAAGTTGGAAAAAAAAAAACAAATGTGGCAAAAACACATGCAAAAATGCAAAACGCACCACAAAAAGCACTGCAGAAACGGATCAAACACAAACTACATAGGTGTGAACCTAGCCTTAGGAAAGATTTGGAAACCTACCTACGTACGTATGAAGACATGACAATAACTTGGTGAACGGCATTTCAGTGTTTTCAGGTATTTTTAGATTGTGCTGTTATACAGTATAATAATGTAAGGATTCATCTGTTGTATAAAAGAATATTGTGGGCTGCTGTTGCTGTGTGTTTTTTTTTTTTTTTTTTTTTGAGAATGGTAGATTGGTAGATTCCTTGTTGTCATGCTGATTTAAGTGTCAGGGAAGTGTCACAATACCTTA